AACTGTGTAGTTGATGGGAGTATCAAAATAACCATTTCCATGGCCAAAAAGTACATCGACTGTGCTGTCATTTTGATTGACTACTACTAAATCTTGTTTAGTATCATTATTAAAATCAGCTGAAATGATATGAACTGGAGAGGCACCAACTGTATTATTTAGTGGAAGTTGAAGAGTTCCATGTCCACTACCAAGTAACACAATAATATTGTTACTATCTTGAGCAATCAATGCAACATCTTGATTATTATCACTATTGAAATCATATGATATTAGCCATTGAGAATATTCACCTGTATTATATGTAGTTTTAGTGCCAAAACTACCATTACCCATACCAAGTGATACACTAACACCGTACGTAATATCGTTTACTGTTGCCAAATCGATTCTATTATCATTGTTGAAATCAGCTGCAACAATGTCTATTGCAGAGGAATTAAATAAATACCGGACGCTAGGCAGAAAATTTCCATTACCATTACCAAGTAACACATAGATACTGCCACCGCCTACTACTGCTAAATCCGCTTTACTATCATTATTGAAATCAGCTACTGTTAATACACTTAAGGAATAGCCAATCGAATCAAGAGTGGATGTTGTAAAACTTTGATTTCCATTGTTAAGAAGTATAGTGAGAGTGTCACCGCCAATATCGATCACTACTAAATCCAGTTTTTTGTCATTATTTAAATCAACTTCTTTCATATAAAATGGATAATAACCAGTGTTACAAACAATTGGAGCATCAAAACTCCCATTTCCAAAGCCAAATATCACATCAATGTAGGCGCTCCAACCATATGACACTACCAAATCCATGTTGTTATCACCATTGAAATCACCAGATAATAACATATATGGGGACGGATTAACTGAAAAGGACGTAATAGTTGCAAATGACCCATTGCCATTATTAAAAAGTAAACTAACGGTAGAGCTATCTTGATTTGTTACTGCTAAATCCAATTGATTATCATTATTAAGATCAGCGGCTATTACATAGTACGGACCTTCACCAATATCATAATTGATTGCAGTCAGAAAGAGTCCATTTCCCAAACCTAGTAGAACACTGACTGTATTGCCATCTGTATTAGTCACTACCAAATCTATTTTCTTATCGTTATTTAAATCAACTGATATCATAATAACTGGTTTATGACCAGTAGCAGGTCGTGTAGTTCGAAAAATTTGTTCCGTATCACCACCTAATAGTAAAGTTACAGTATTTTCTAGTGAATTTGATATTGCCACATCTAGATATGTATCATTATCAAAGTAACCCAGTACAGAAGATGATGGATATTTTCCAGTATCGATAGTATTATCTAATTGAAATAGCTTCTCGCATACATATTCTAAAAACAAAATAATAATGAAACATAGATTGAACAATAAGTATGATAGAATTCTAATCTCTAAGACAACAACATCTGATTTTTCTATTATCTAAGAAATAAATCTTCATACTTGTTGTTTTTGATTTTGTTCCCAAAATAACACCAATAATAACACCTGCAATAAATAGAGTAAGCAATAAACAAGTTGGAATCATAAATCTTTTCTTTCGATAAAATGGACGTCTTATAAATAAAAAAAAGAAATAATTTCATCAAATAAAATAATTAGATAAGACTTACGGAATTTTTGGATAAATATGTGCACCTAAATATTAAAAAAAATATTATTACTATATATATATATATAATAAATGTGTGAAATACCTTCAAATGGTGGTTCGAGTGTCATCATTTCTGGTTCTACTTGTTTCAAATGAATAATATATAGATTAGCTGCTGGACTAAGTTGTGATTGAACAATCATATGAGTACCAGACATAAGAACAATTTCATCTTCAGTAACAAAATGTGAATGTGCTTTGATTGTTCGACCATTCATAGCTTCGACAGAAAAAAGTGTTCGATCACCTTCTTGACCCAAATACATATTATTTTCAAGTACAGTCATTTCAGTAGTACACGATGAAAATGCCCACCAAGTCATACCAGAACCAGGTGGAAATTCTGCACTTAAATTTTTAGTCACTCCTCGCCAAACAGTTAGTGGTGGAACACATGGTAGTTTAACAAGAGCAGTTAAGAACAGCTTGAGATACCTGAAAAAAGGTAGAAGTGCTTGACGATCATTATTTTTGAGATTAAAATTGAGTGTTGAATAGAGACTTCGATGAGGTTTATCCCATTCGATTGTATAAAGACGAATTGCAGCACTTTCATCAACTGATAATCCATCAGGTGGTTGTTCAGGAGTTTCCTCTAATGCTAATTCAACATAGAATGATAAATTATTAAAGATTTCAGTTAATGGAGCACATGCTTGTGCAAGTGGTAGTAGAGGTTCTTCCGAATATCCTAGAATAGGACTTATTTCAGTTCCATCACTTTTAGTGATATCTTTATTATCAGTTTCTGTAATTTGTTTCTCTTGTTGACTAGTGGTATTTCTATCAATATTAGAATCTTCTTTTGGTATCATTGTTTGTCGTTGATCACGTGTTACTTCTCGATTAAGATTTTCATCTGTTGTATCGAACTTGTATGTTGAACCATTCTTGTTATTGGCTCTTGGATTTCTTGAGTGTTTATGTTCGTTATTTACGTTATCATCCAAGTTAATATTTGTAAATGCTACTTGAATGCCAACATTTTTAGTTCTTTTGTATCGTCGATAATTTTCTGCTTCATCGTCGAGTTTGATGGCAGTTAATTCTGTTTGTAAACGAACATTTCTGCTAGTTTTTGGTTGTTGATAATTTATCTGTTCATCGTTGAATGGAATTAATGTTTCCATCATATTATGTATGGGAACATTTCTATTTGATATTGTTCGTTGTTGTGAATAATTGTTTATATTGATATTCTATGATAAAAGATTAAATATTTTTTTTACAATGAAAAAAAAAACAAGTAGTTGATGATGAATATCTACAGATATCAAATATTATTATTATCTCTCAAGACAGAAATATGAAAAAAAAGAAAAATCTATCTATGTGATTTAATTGATCATTAATCAATGAAGAATTCTATACTATTATAGTCAAACAATCAATTTTAAATTAGTAGAATTTATTCTTAACTATTTTATATATATTATTCATATTATTTTAGGATATCTCTCTGAATATATATCTTAAGATTATAGAAGTAAACTTGAAGATTCACTATAACAGATTAATACAAAAAATACCATTAATTTTTTTTAACTTTCTAATAAAATAATTATATATATATATATAAAATCAAACATGATAAAATGTAACAAAATATTATTTTAATATTATCAGTCGAATAAAGCAACTATTTAGATGGATTAGTACATGATAATTGTATTTTTTTTGTAATATTCACCGTTAGAGAATATACAAGGATGACTGAAATGGAAAATGAATAAATGTATGTGGTAAGCAGGTAAGTAACGAAATAAAAAAGTAAATTATGAGAGAAAAATCAAACGTTTGTATTTCTTTTTTAAAATACACTAATCATTATGCATGAATGCTCTCTGTATTATATTATCAAAAACAAAAACAACGTATTATGATAAATGGGTATAAAGGCAATTTTTCCATTTCTTCTCATAAACGTACTTTTATGTGTATTTATAATATGAAGGTAGAAAAAGAAAAATATATATGAGAAGCGCAGTTACCACCAACGTATTATATACACGTGTGCGAATGTAGAAGTTTTTATTTACAAATTTATTCTGTGTGATTTTGGTTTATTAATTATATGTAATAAAATTTATCTCTCTCCTGCCGTTCGCACGATAATAGTAAGGCATATTTTTCTCTTAACACTCCAATCACACATACGATCCGTATATGTACATATATTGAGTCACCTGGAGATTCATTCATTATATAAAAAATATAAAAGATTGATAATAAATTGTGAAAGACGCTCTATAGACAAGAGAGTAATAACAATTCTGATGGTGTCGTCATATTAATGCAACAAAAACTAAAGAGTACAGTCGTAAACAGATCAATAAATTTTTTATTAATCGAATTAGAAATGTCGTATCCAAAATTTATTTTATGTATATTATCAAAAGTTTTAAGTGTACGAAAAAATATTTTCTCGGCATTCATATTTTTTCAAAAATTAATTATTTTCTTTTCATGACTAGAAAAAATTTTAAATGTGTTTTCTATTCTATTTATTTACTACAAGTAAATGTGAATACGAATATCATAGTCAATTATCATCTATTTACATTTGCTCATTCATGTAAAAAAAAACAATCAGTTCGAATGAAATATGCAAGATGCATCATATTAAATTCATTAAGTTGAGCATTTTCAATAGATTTTTGCTTGTACGTAATCTTTTTTTTGCGTATAAATCAATTTAATGTTATCAGTAATCTGTAATATCACTTCTTTGATCAATAAAATGCATTATAGATCAAGAGATTATTAAATGAACAAAGAATAGGAAGGAAGTGAGATGATATTATATACAAATAAAAAAAAGATAACAACTATAGAAGGTAATATAGAAATGTTGGAATTAATCAAACTTCGTAAATCTTTATCATGATTGAAATTCAATATGTATACATCACATGTCTTTTTTTTAAATGATTGATGAATTTATCAATACAAATCGAAATAATACGAATACATACACGAACCGAAAGTCTTTTTTTTTCTTTCTTTCTCATACGAAAAAAAGAATACATATGTAAGACTGCATTGTTTTAATAGCACGTATAATATTCGTGATATGGATAAGACGTTTTATTCATTCTTTATTTTAACATCCAGTCATATACATAATAGTGTAAATAAATTTAAATATAAAGATCAATATCAATTTCTTCTATAAATAAGAAAAGTAAGATTAAATATTATCTTTAATAGAAATAAGAGAATTTGATACGAACAAAAGAAATATAAAAATCATATAGATAAAAATAAAACTAATCATTGTATGAATTTTATTCATTTATTTACATAAAAAATAATGCATGCTTTAATATCTTTATTCGCGGAAAATTGGCATCTTTTTCGTTTGTATTTTGTCTCGGAAGAACGTTTCTATGCACGAATTATGTTTTTTGTTTTAATTATTATGGAATTAATGACGATTGGTTTGGATGTATTATTAACATATTGGAGTAAAAATTTTCTTAATGCATTACAAAATTATGATCAATCGGCTTTTTTTCATTCATTATTACAATTTTGTTTTCTTGCTGCTACAATTATAATTATATCTGTTCATAAAACTTATTTATCACAAACACTTTTACTTTATTGGAGACGTTGGATGACAAATGATTTTCTTAAAAGATATTTAGATCATCATGCTTATTATGAAATGTCATTTATGAAAAATAATCGACAAAATATACAGGATAGAAATGATAATCCTGATCAAAGAATATCATCGGATATTAGTATATATATTATAAGCATTTTTGAGTTAACAATTGGTCTATTGAGTACATGTGTTTCATTGGTATGTTATGTTATTCTACTTTGGTCTCTTTCTGGTGTAATTAAAATTAATTTTACTCAAAATTTATCATGTTCAGTTCGAGGAATTATGGTTTGGGCAGCTCTTATCTATGCTGGATTAGGTATAAAAAAAGAATAGAAGTTAAATCTCATCGGATAATTTCTCCTTTATTTATAAGAAAAAATATGACATAAAATTGGCTCTATTTTCTTATAGTCGTAAAAATTAAAATTTTCTGAATGTTGTGATGTCACTAGTTACTGGTATAGAGTCATATTCGCATCCGAACTCATGCTCCGATTACAAATTTCATTTTTATATGTAAGTCTGTTTAGTTTTTTTCTAGTTAAAAGAAATCCGTATGTATCAATAGAGATACATCGAAGTCTAATAGATGCTCCGTAGAGTTTAATAAATGAGGTAGTAATCAGATTTAGCTAGTTTGATATAACGATGTCAAATTTTTGATTTTCTTTTTTTTTTGTTAAGGTACTATAATTACAAATTTGATCGGTCGAGTTCTCTTTCATTTAAAATATGAACAAGAACATTGTGAAGCTAATTTTCGATATGGTCTTGTTCGTCTTCGTGATCATGCAGAATCTATTGCTTTCTATCGAAGTGAATCAAATGAACAGACATCATTATCAACATTATATCTTGAATTAATAACAAATTTTCGTCGAATTATTCATCGAAAATTAGCACTGAATTGGTTCGATTCATTTTATACAACAACAGCACGTGTTTTTCCATATCTTGTTGCATCTCATCGATATTTTTCAAAACAAATTACATTTGGTCATTTAGAACAAATAGCAACTGCATTCTCAAGTGTACATAGTGCTCTTTCATTTATACCAAATTCATATGAAACTATTGTACAATGGCGATCCGCTACAAAACGATTGACTGAATTTGAATATACTTTAAATGAATTACAATTAGCTAAACAAAATTCTAAAATTAAATTTATTTATGTATCAAATGAACAATCGACACATATTGAAAATTTAACTATTCAATTACCATTAAAAATCGGGGAAAATGATGGACAAATACTTATTAAACATCTTAATTTAGTACTTGAACCTCATCAAGCTGTACTCATAACAGGTAAAAATAAATAATTATAATTCATTGAATTTGTTTCTATTTTAGGCAAGACTGGATCTGGAAAATCGACATTCCTTCGAACTCTTGCTGGTATATGGCCACATGGATCGGGAATGATTACTTTTCCTGTTGGTGATACAGTGGCTTTCGTTCCTCAAAAAGCGTATTGTCCACTTGGTTCACTTCGTCATTGTTTAACATATCCATCGATATCATTTTCGTCTATTGAAGAAGATAAAAAAATTCGAAATATTCTAAATCTATGTCAAATGAAATATTGGTCGAATAATCTCGATGAAGTTCAGGATTGGTCACGAGTTCTTTCGTTAGGCGAACAACAAAAAATGGCATTTATTCGTATTTTGTATTTAAGACCAAAATGGTTATTTTTAGATGAAGTCACATCGTCATTAGATGAACAAGCTGAAACATATTTATATTCAATATTAATGCAAGAATTAGCGAATCATTCAACTATTATAAGTATAGGACATCGAAATAACTTAAGACAATTTCATCAATTAGAATTAGTATTAAATGATGGAAATGTAACAATGATGTCTATATAATCGAAAACTTACATAATAAAAACAATAATTTTTTTAATATTCTAATAAATTTGAGAGTTTTATATTCTTCTCTCTCAATCAGACTTGGAACCGGTCAAGTTTTCTCGACCCGGACTTGACCGGCCGGTCTAACATGGTCGCCCGGACCGGACCGGCCGGTCTATATTTGTAACTGGACCGGTAAAAACCGGCAATTTTTATGGTATAATCTGATGGATAAAATTTAATATATATATGTATTATTCCAGATTTAACGTATACAAACTCAACTAATACTGTATAAGTTCAATATACTTATTATTATGCAAAAAAAGAATTTTCAGTCAGATATAACAGAATAGCATATGTTATATTGTGGAGTTAGATATTATGGTATTAATAAGAATGAGTGCTATCATCTGGCGTAAATCACTGTCGAGTATAAATGGTAATAATATATGATTAGTACAACTCCAAGAAAAAGACATCAGCCGTAAAAAATCTCAAACATTTTTAGGCAAAGTATTTTCAAAAACTGAAGTAGTTAAGAAATAATAGTTGCAATTCTCTCATTTATTACAATTTTATTGTGATTTCTTCTTAGTTAAGTAATAGTTAAAGAAAAAATTACAAAAAAAGAAAAGTCATTTCGGCACTTAAATTAAGCATCTAAATGTATTACTGATTTATAAATCAATTTCATAAATATTTTTGTAATAATCTGGTAAGGAAGAAAATATTTGTCAAAATGCCGTTAAATACAACGATCGAATACAAAAGGGAGAGTTAAACAATACTCAGATCAAATAAATATGATGGTTGTCATAAAAACCGCATAATAAGAAACACTACACATAAGTAATAAGAAACTACAGACAGACTAGATATCCCTAACTCAACAAAGATAAACAATATAAGCAATAAGAAAATGTCAATTATTCAATAAATATAAAGATGAGTGTTGAAATACAAAGTCTTTTTTTTCATCAGTTTAATATAAAACTATAGCATGAAATTCAAATGTACAGACACTTATTGTCTGGAAAATATCAAGCAAAAACTTCGAAATTCAACTTTTAAAATTGTGTTGAGATGTAAAAATTATGTAAAAATAATATCATATACTGTCTTTCCCACCTCTCACACTTAGATTTCTAACTATCAACATGATATTTTTATCAATTTTAGTGTATATCATGTAAAAAACAATTATGCAGTATCCCCTAAAAATGGAAAAAAATCGGTAAATACCGGTAAAAACCGGCCGGTCTGAAAAGCTGGACCGGTGACCGGCAAACCGGCCGGTCCGGTACCGGTTTGCCGGACCGGTTCCATGTCTGCTCTCAATATGTTTTTCTTTACCTTGATATTCAATTAGCCATGTGAGAAATAAATAGATCGTTATTATTAGAACACTCTGTGTTCAGAGTAAAAAAATAAGAAACTTACTATTTATAACATAGACTCATTAACTTTTCTCCGACAATGAAAAAAAAGATTTGTCTCAGTTGTGAATCTATATGATCGTGTCTAAGTTCATGAAAGTGAATTGAAAGATAAGTAAAATCATCTATTTATTTTATTCTATCAAAGGAAAAGATCCCTGAAACAATCATTCTGCTTCAACTGATTGTGAAGAGGAGAACGAGAGTATTGATTCAAGTTTTAACAAACTACCACCTATTTTAAAATGCAAGATGAGTGGATATTTTTGAATAAGATTCAACATGAATAAGATGAAGCGCTACGATTTTCGCTATTGAAAAGAGGTAATGAAGATGTATCGAAGCTTATCTGAAAAGTTTTTTCTAAAACTATTAAAAATAGAGAATATGCTCTGTGGTCAGTAAAATAATTGAAATATCAGTAAATATATTAATTGGTTAGCTTTCAAAAAAAATCAGTAAACAATTCCAAAGCGGTCAGTAGATTTTGTGGAAGTAGCAGTGAAAAAATATGATTTTTGTCAGTAAAAAAAAAGGAAAGTAGATCATGTTTGCACAAATTTATATTTTTTTACTTTCCATTCCATTTTATTTACTGATCATTTAAATTTTATTATGAACCTATCAAATTAATTACTGACCATTTCAATAATTTTAGTAACCAGTCAATAATTCTACCGATTTTTGATTTTTTTTTTACTGACCGTTTCATTTATTCTACTGACCACTTAAATGAAACCCTTAAAAATACCTATCCATTTTTTATTTTGGAATGTGTAGTAATTCAAATCGTGATTTTTAGTAATTTCATACAATTAATTAAAAGTGTTACAATTGGCATCAGTGTATTATGAATATTTTGAGTATCAAATAATTGGTAAATTTAAAGAGTTTAATTAGAGAAGCAACATTTATTAAGCATAAAATAATATTTAGTTACAGTTTTTGTTGAATAGAAGCATTAAAATACAACGATAAAATTACTAATTAACGAAAAAAATAAATCGAGAACAAAACAATTTATTTCAAGGACAAAAAGTCAGAACAATAAAATCATGTTTTGTTAATGAAAATACAGAGATTACAACAAAGTAATATATTTGTCAACTAAATACGAGAAACTACCTAACAATATAGAAATGTATACTTCACATTAACATTCATTGTCAATCCGCGCGTCTAGTTTCATAAATTGACATATTTTTTTAAATTAAAAATATCTTTCAAAATTCATTGAACAGTAACTTGTGGTAATGTTTGCCGTATACGTTGTAAATTACCTACAGCAACTACATTTGTTCTTCGTTTACAAATAAAATCTGTTATTTTACTGACTAATTCAGGTATTCCAAATAAACATGTTACTGGTAATAAAAATGGCATATAATATAAAATATATTCTAATGTAGTATATTGATCGATCATAAACAAAGGGTCTGATGTCATTTGAATAAGACTTACTGTTACAAGTGGTGCCCAACATGCTATATGTAAGGTAGAAATTGCCCAAAATTGTAGAATCATTTTACGATGTCGTCGCCAATTAAGACCTGGTTGACGAGACATTTTTCCTTTGACTACTCGAATAATTAATAGAATATTTACCAGAACATTAAGTAGAAGAGGAATACTAACATTGGAAACAAAATCATATATACCATAAGTTCCTGTATAAGTGTAACATGGTGGTCCACAAAGAAGTGTTCCAAAGTCCCATGCATTTGTACATTGTGCAGGAAAGACAACTAAACCAAGATAGACGATTGGTGGCCATATAAGACAAATAATGATGGGTACATAATGAAATAATAATTTTCTCCATTGTCCACGAAGTAATTCTTGAGAATGAAAAACAAGTAAATGTCTTTCAATCGCTATCCATACCATTAAATATAATGCTATTGCATCAGCAGAAAAACTCCACCATACCCACACTAAACAAAATGCATTTGACTCAGGCCAAACTCTTTCTCGATAATAAAAACTCATTGCTACAGGTAAATCTAATATTAATTGTAAAAAATTCATAGACAATAAAACAAGCCAACTATGATGTTGTCGTTTCAAACGAGTTCTTGGATTTTGAGCAAAATATATAAAGATAAACATTGAAATGGCAATTGCTTGCATTTCAAAGATAAATGCTAGAGAAAATTCGATATAATAAACCATATTTTGTATCTAGAAAAAAATTCAGTATTATTATAAGTTTTTTTAGGTTGAACTTTATGATCTTATAGTTCAAACTTGTTTATAAGAATATGAGATGAAAATAAAAATAATACTATTCAATCATAATTACATTTTATTATTCATTCTAATCAGCTTATGTCTGCTCAAACATCTATTGAAAAATAAATTAAAATTAAATCTAACTACTTATATGTGACGTAAAACATAAATCTACGAAAATAGAACTATTCACGTCATAATAATATATTTTAAAATGGAATTTTTCATACGTTCGAGTTTGAATTCAATTTCATTATTCACAGATAACCTTACTTGTAATCATTATATTCTAACCACTAACTATCCTGTTAGAATATATATATATATATACAGACCAGAAGAAATAAAAATACATCTCAATTATAACTGTAATTCGCGACAAAATATTTCTTCTATAGAACAAAGGACAAAGAACGGTTGATCTTTTTTATATTTAAAACATAATTAGCGTGAAATTAATGCTCGTCTGTTAAACTATCTGATAAAAATGAGGATAAAATTTGTTTTATTATATTTATAGCTTTACTTAAATTCATGATTGTCTAGATAAGTACTATTATTAAATTTTGATTTAAAAAATAATTGAAATCGAAATGATAATAATCCAATTATAAAACAAAATATTTACTTCAGTTATGATTGTAAGTCATAACTTATTAAAACATTCAAAAAATAGAAACATAAAATATGTTTAATTAACAAATGTCTAAGACAAAGTTTTAATGTAATATATTTTTAGAATATTGAAAAAGAAAAAACGTAAATATCTATCTTAAATATGTAAAGCAGAATCCATTTAGATTACGTAAATGCGTATTTTATTTAAAAATATAATCATTATTTCATTGTCCTTTCAGAACAAACAATAACATCAAAGGATGTCTGGGGAATTTACTCAGAGTTTTAGTAGTTATTCACCTATTGAAATAACTAAAATAAACATAGACAAAGCTGTTATCCGGACCGAAAGAGCTGGTAAAAAAACAGGAAATTATGCATTGAAAAAACGTAGCTTTTAGCACGTTTTTACACTTCAAAAGCGCACATTCTATAACGCGGTTTTTTATTGTTTTTATCCCAAACTGCGTTGAAGTGGCTTTTTTAACTAGCGCAGACAAGCGATAAAACACATATCTTCGGGCGTATTAACGCGATTTTTTGGTAAAAAAAAGAAGAAAAATGTCATTTAGTCTGAATGAGAATTACAAATAAATCTGATACTATCATCTATATCCATACATTGATCCTGAAAAAAATTGATCGATTTTCTAATAGATTCTCTTACTCTTGATAATAATTAAAAGTACTTAATTTAATATTGAGATGATCGATATAGATTTTTTGAATTTGATTATTCAATGAAGTCTGTCATGTGCTCTGCATATGATACATTCTCTTCTCTCACTTGTCTTTTTGCTTCTCTTCCATATTTTGTTGCTCTGAGTTAGAGAGGATGTGTTGGAGTGCATGTATGTATAAGAGAAGGTGTTGGCAGCGGTAGATATATATTGTTCTGTTCTGTGTGATGTGTCATCATTCTTTCTATATGAATTAGTGTTCGGTTATGGAATAGACTAACATCTCATAAGGTCAACGATACAACGATCAAAATAAAAATAAAAAAACATAAACAAAGATTTGTTTTTAATTAGAAAATATAACAGAAAGCTAATAAATATTCCATATGCTAATTATCATCTGGATATCAATTGATATTATATGAGAATTTTAATGAAGAAAGTAAATAATATATAATGAATTTCAAAGGAAAATTTTAAACTTGAAGTTCTTGTTATTATTAAATTGAATATATACTTGATAACTATGTATTTATTAGTTGATCAATCAAATAAGATCTTGTATACTTTTTCCTGAAGAATCTCTTTTACATTGTGGTAAACTATTAGTCATACATATCATCTTATACGTTTATAATATTCAGCGATATATAATTTAATCAAATAGACGGCTTTTGTTATGATATCGTCAAATCTATTCAATATTTGTGAAAATTTTCACATCGATAAGAATTATTTCAAAGACTCTTTCGTTAAATGTTTTATTTGAACGATTTTATATATCATATGCTATCTGGATATGATCCATTAGTAATTAATATACAAAATAAAAGAAGTAAAAGATTTAAATCGTAGTAGAATTAATCCACGAAATGAATACTCTAGTTAGTTACCATATACTTGGCGTTATATGTGTAATGGGGAAACCATAACGTTACTAATAAGATTTTCACCAATTAGTACTTTTTTCAGCGTCATTATGTGATTACACATGTGTAAAAATGGCTCTAAGTAACTATATTAAGGAGTTTACACTATGGTATACTTATTCTAATAATATTAGGTTAATTTTTCGTATGTATTCTATATTAATATTATGTTATTATAGTTGGTCATAATCCACTGTACTTACCACATGTGACGCTTGAAATTTTTCCCAATTGGTGAAGAGACTGTCAGTCATTACATTAAGCAAAATTCACTTTGATTATTATCTATATGTCTGTTCAATTCTGTTCGGTCTTATTTCAAGCTGTAGTCGCATGCAGAAACTGTTTAAGTTTTAAGCAGTATTTGTTTTTCACATTCATCCCGTTCGTTTATTTTAACTTTTTGAATTTTTCTGTTATAAACTCATTCTCAATAAAGCGAAACCTTATTTATATGAAAAGAATTTGTTTCCGTTCGTTTATTTTTTGAAACATCTCTTGCTTTTCTTATCTCGTAAAATGCCTGCTGCAAAAGCTAAATGATTCATTGTTTAGAAAGATGTCAACTAAAGACTATATTATAACACGTTATAAGTTTCTAACTATTTGATACACCTTTATCAGTGCATACCACATGTTTGTTATGATATTATCAGTATAAGTAATATATCAACTATTTGCGTGTATGTGATGATTTGTATATATAAACAGACTACTTTCAATCCAAGAAGATCTTTTTTCCGCTATTAATCATAAGTTCAAGAACAGCGAATAGCTAGACATTTAATTTAAAATTTCTTTTTCAGATATATATTTCAAATCAAATCAAACATTACTTTTATCAAATATAAATTTGTTTTGTGAGTTGATCTATAATAAACATGCGAACAAATTACTTGGTTGTGCTCGTGATATTCTTCTATATTTATGATCAAATAAGTACAATACCAATTAAGAAAGACAAGGATACTAAAGATCGCTCCATTTTTAACACGCGAGGAATCCAATCGTCGCTGGTTCGTCGATCGTGTAATTATGACGATGATTGTTCTCGGCATCACCAGTGCCTCGATCATATATGTATATGTGAGAAAGGCTGGGCTACACAAAAGGATA